AGAACGGCATTTAGGACTCTTGTACATAGGGTCGCAATGAGTCGCAAGCGACTGAGTGGCATATAACAATAACAACAAATCACACAAGAGGAGATTGCTTGTCTTTTTTCTAGACAAACCAGAGCTACTAGTGGATTCAAAGCACCAGAGAGGTGCTGTATTTGGGTCAGTAGTTCAACTCCCTATAGACTATACCAATAGCACTCCTACAGTAAGAATAACATAGAAACAAAATGAAAGACACAAACTCAAAAAGTTGAAAATTTCTTGAGTTAAAATATGAATAAGACAGGAAAAACAATCATTCTAAATGTAAATGTAAGAAATATTTAGCATTGCTCAGACAATAATAAGCAATGAAACCTGTCCCTTCTTAGTAGCATGGTGTCCAGTTCAATAGTAAAGCTGTCAGTTTTCATGCGTCCTGGAGGCATTTATTACAGCTCACATATTTTGGACCTCTTTATACTTCATAATGATTCAAAGCTCTATGTTTAGCTTTGACTGCCTGAGTTTGAATCCTGGCAATAAATTTACTAGCTGGATTCCCTTAGGAAAACTCCACAATTTCAGTATATATGACTGGGCAGCAGGATGGCACACATATAAGAAAGTTAAGAATAACCTAATGTCACTCTATAAAATGTGAATAAACTTGCAGATAAGTGTTGTTGAAAGAACCCCCAGATGATGTGGTTCTCTCTCATCAGGCATTCAAGTGGTCTCCAGGCATTGGCTTGACTTCCAGAATTGTGTTACTGTCATTGAATCAGTTCTGGCTCATAGCAACAGCATCTGTGTTCAGTAAAAGGAAACACTTTCCTGTGTCATCCTTACATTACTGCTGTGCTTGATCCAATTATAATGGTCACTATATCAAACCATCTCATTGAAAGTTTTCCTCTTTCTCTCTGATACTTCACTAGGCCTGATATACTTCTCTAAGATTGATGTCTCCTGTTAATATGCCCAAAGTGTATAACATGAAGTCGTACATTCCAAAGCTTGAAGAATCTGTATGAAGGCTTTTGAAGTCAACCATACTCCATTCCTCTAGTTTCCCACCAGGACTATTGAAGAAGTGACCCTGATCTAGCATAACTTCATTTATTGTCTATTCTCTTTCTACTCTATTTTCATGTCATAAATTCTTTTGTTGCCTGTATTTTTCAGGCTTTCTCTTCAAATTTCAAAATTCTATATCAGAAGTCAAGGAAACAGAATATTGGCTCATCTTTGTTCTTTCTGTTTATTTATAGCATACTTCTCATTAGAGCAATGCGGATGTCTTTGGTTAATGAAAGAAAATAAGCAGATAAAAAGAAAAGCTTAACAAATAACATTTCAAGACATGATCTCAATACTTAAGTGTGCAAAATAGGCTGAAAGATAAGTACTTAAAGTGGCCCCTGTAGGTTAAATCACTTTGGAGCTGAGAGCTACTGCCAGGAGACTCTACTTTGAAGATTTCTAACTCAGATAATTCTGCCCACACTACCAGAAGTCCGGCAGGAAACCCTTGAGGGTTAAATAGTTTCTGAGGCTGAGAGCAACTGCTGAGAGACTCCATTTTGGCCTTTGGTACAAAACTTATATACCAGATCCAGAGAATGTGTGACAGCAGCATGCTGCAAGTGGAAGAGAACAGATACTAAGCCACAAGGTGTTAGTATTGGAGCAAAAGCTCAAGACAAAAAACATTCCCTCAGAAGTGAGGAAACTGAGGGGTAAAACCCTTCCTTAATTCTATAACCTTGAATTTGGACTTAGAGAATGCTAAACTCAAGAGAGACTGACCACCACAAGGAGAGGCTCAAGGCATCCAAAATCACAGAAGCACAAAAGGCTTGAGACCTAAGCCATCATATCAAGGGCTGGATGGGGAAAGGGAGATTTTAAATGGGGTAGGTGGGAGTGGAAGGAGATTCTGGTGGAGCAGGGAAAGGGATGGGTCAAGACACATTTGCCAAGTGCAGAGGGAAAAACTGAATCTATTACTTGCATCCATAATTGGGGGAATATCTTTCATCTCTCTTTTCTGTAAAATGTTCGTCTGCCAGATACTGTTCTAAAACTGAGCATTCTAATTAAAACAGACCAGAAAGGATTGGCTATCCAATTCTGAAATAACAGACCTTCCAAATCTCTATTTATAGTAGAGCACACTTAGAGTAGACTAGCAGATATGGCAACTGAGTCTGAGTCCTCAAATATGGAAACAAAAAAGAGGAAGAAGCGTTGTAAGCAAATATTAGTGATTAGAACATGGAATGTGAGAAGCATGAATGTAGGAAAATTGGACATTATTAAGAAAGAAATTGAACACATAAATATTGACATATTAGGTATTGGCAAACTGAGGTGGATTGGCATGGGGCATTTTAAATCAGACAGTCATATTATCAACTACGCTGGAGATGAAAAGGTGAAGAAAAATGTTATTCAAGTCCTTCAGCTTAAGCAATAACTGAGCGAGTTTGGCCCTTTTGCTTTTCTGCCTTCAGCCTTTTTGTTTTCATAGTTAAGAAAGTATTCTCTCAATCCATCTTGAAATACAGTGTCGTGAGTGATAGGATAATATCCATATACATATAAGAAAATCCAGTGACTATCACTATCATTCAAATATTTGCACCAGCAAATAGAGCCAAAGAGCAGGAAATCGAAGACTTCTACGAACTTTTGCAGTCAGAAATTGATCAAACATGCAATCAAGATGCATTACGATGAGTGACTGGAATACAAAAGCTGGAAACAAGAAGGATCAGTAGTCAGAAAACATTAACTTGGTGACAGAAATGATGCTGGAGAAAGAATGATAAAATTCTATACAATCAACAATCAATGGCCTAGTCATTGCAAATGCATATTATAAGAAACATAAACACAGACTATATACATCGAATTCGCCTGATGGTAGGCATAAGAATCGTATTCTCTACATTTGTTGAAAGAATCACTGGAGAAGCTTAACATCAGCTGTGAAAACTAGGCCATGTGCTGATTGTGGAACAGACCACCAACTACTCAAGTTCAAGCTGAAGTTGAAGAAAATTAAATCAAATTCACAGGAATAAAAATTTGATCTTGAGTCTACTCCACTTGAATTACAAAACCATCTCAGGAACAGGTTTGAGGCCTTGAACACCAATGAACAAAGACCAGATGAGCTGTGGGAAGATATCAATAATATCATCCATAAAGAATGCAAAAGGTAGTTATAATAGCAGAGGAGGAAGAAATGAACAAAATTGATGCCAGAAGAGAATCTAAATATTGCACTAGAGAGGCGAGAAGCCAAAGCAAAGGGAAGAAATTAAGAAATTAAGGAGCTAAACAGACGATTTCAAAGGGCAACACGTCAAGACAAAGCAAAGTATAATAGTGAAATGTGCAAAAAGGCTGTAGTCGGAAAATCAAAAGGGCCGAACAAACTCAGTATTTCTTAAGCTGAAGGACTTGAATAACAAATTCAAGCCTCAACTTGAAATGCTTAAGGATGCTATAAGCAAAATATTGAATGATCCAGGAAACATTTAAAGAAGATGGAAGGAGTATTCAGAGTCATTGTACTAAAAAGCATTGGCTGACACTAGAAGAACTTAATGAAAAAATGCATGAGCAAAAGCCTGTGGTGATGAAGGATGAAGTTCAAGCTGCTCTGAAAGAATTGGCAAAAAAAAAAAAACAACACAAAAAACAAGGCCCAAGGAATTGATGACGTACCAAATGAAATATTTCAACAGATGCTGCCCTGAATGTGATCATCAAGTTGTGCCGGGAAATTTGGAGAACAAGCACTTGGCCAACTAACTGGAATAGATCTATATTTATTCCCATGCCAAAGAAAGGTGACATGACAGAATGTGAAAATTATCAAACAATATTATTAATATTACATGCAAGCAAGTTTCTGTTGAATATTATCCAAAAACTACTGGAACAGTACATCAACAAAGAACTGCCAGATGAGTTTAGAAAAGTTTAGAAGAGGCTGTGGCAGTAGGGATATTGCAGTTAATGTTAGATGGATCTTGGCTGAAAGCAGAGAGTACCAGAGGAATGTCTATTTGTGTTTCATTGACTATGGAAAGACTTGTAATTGTGTGGATCACAACAAGCTGTGACGAACTCTGAGAAGAATGGGAATTACAGAATACTTGATTGTGCCTATACAAAACCTATACATGCACCAGGAGGCGGTCGTCAGAACAGAAAAGGAAACAGTGCATGGTTCAAAATCAGGAAGGGTGTACACCAGGGATGTGTCCTATCTCCATACTTTTTCAATATATATGTGGTATAGAACATACAAGAGGTGGGGCTCTATGAGGAGGACTGTGGCCTCAGAATTAGAGGAAGACTCATTCATCAACAACCTGTGTTATACAGATGACACAATCTTGCTTGTTGAAACTGAAGAGAACCTAAAGCACTTACTGCAGAATGTCAAGGACTGCAGCCTTCAAAATGGATTGAAGCTCAATATAAAAAACAAAACAACTAAAGATTCTCAGTTGATTAGCAATAGTTTGCTTGGCTCCACAGTCAACACTCTTGGTACTAGCAGTCAGAAAATCAAAAGACAAATTCCCTTTGGAAAGTCTGCTCTCAGGGACATCTCCAGAATACCGAAGAGCAACAATGTCAGACTGGAGACCAAGGTTCAATTGCATGTTGTGCATCAGAAAGCCAAACAATGACTATAGATTATAGGAGAATTGATGCCTTTGAGCTGTGGTGCTGGAAAAGAGTATCTGAATATACCATGGACTGCTAAGAGAACAAACAGGTTCGTCCTGGAGAGGTTGAAACCAGGCTGCTACTTGGAGGCAAGGATTCTGAAGCTCCATCCAATACACTCTGATTATGTTGCAAAAAGGAACCAGACTTTGGAAGGAGACATGCTTGGGAGGGTGGAGAGACAGCACAAGAAAGGAAGACCCTTGATGGGATGTATTGGCTCAGTGACTGGCATAATGGGGTAGATGTGTCAGAGACAATAAGGATGGCTCAGGATTGAACAGGTTTCAGAGCTATTGTACATAGGGACACTATGATTTGTAGGTGACTTGACGGCCCATAACAACAACATTAACAAAAAAAATTTTAAGTTACCCCTAACATTATTTAATAATATGCACAAGAAAAAGAAAAGTGACAAATTTATTCCATTGTGATCATTTCCTTTTTTCCCCCTCTCTTTTTATACATCCTTTTACACTTAATTCACCTTTAAGGGCTCTGTGAAGTAAAAGAGATTTTATTATTTAGTCTTATAGTAGTAGTTGTTGTTGTTGTTAGGTGCCATGGAGTCAAATACAACTCATGGTGACTCCATGAACAAAGATCTGAACTCTGTTCTATTATGTGCCATGTTCACACTTCCTGACACACAGGAAAGAGACCATTGTGGTAGTCATACTGTCAGGCCATCTGGATGAGGGCCTTCCTCTCCTTTGCTGACTCTCCACCCTTTCTAGCATCATGTTCCTTTTTAAGGAATAGCCCCTCCTAGAAACATGCCCAAAGTTTGTGAGGCAAAGTTTCATCATTCTTGCCTCCAAAGAGCACTCCAGTTGCATGCTCTCCAAAATGTATCTATTTGTTCTTTTGGCCATCCTTGGGATGTTCAGTGTTCTTCTCCAACACCACAGCTCAAAGACATAAATTCTTCTTTTGTAATCTTTATTCATTGTCCATTTCTTGGATGTATAGCAAATTATCAAAAAGGCTATGGTCTGAATCATGCATCTTCGTCTTCAAAATGACGTCATTACTCTTCAATAACTTGGAGAGGTCCCCAACTACAGATTTTCCCAGCCCCATGTGATTCTTAATTTCCTGCCTGCTGGCACTAAAGGTGTTAATTGTGGATTGTGGTAGAAGAAAATGTAACACTTTAATGATGATTTTGCCAATAAAAGGCCTTATTATTTCCTTTCTTTCACTTATCAGTTTGGAAGGAGGAGTGGCATCCGCTTCCATAATAGCTTGCTTCTGGAAACCCTATGAACCTGGACAGAGGATGAAAGACACCGAAGCCTCTAGGACTCTCCTTCATAGGGTCACTATGTGTTGCCTGCGACTTGACGGCACTTAACAACAACAACACTTATCAGTATATACGCTACCACCACGACCAACCCTGTCTCTTAGTTAATTTTTAATATTTTTGCCTTGTGATTAAATGATAATGAAAAATTCATTTTATAAACCAAATGAGAGAAAGTCTTATTTTGAGTGAAAGAAATTTACTCAAACAATGAAAATAAGAATATTTAAATCTATAATGGAATACTGGAAACTCATATAATGCATGTAATAATATTTATTGCAGTTGAAAGTTGTTCTACTGTTTACAGAGAACCTTCCTATGTAGCATTTGGCTAAATATAAATAACTCAAAATCTTATCCCCCTCCCCCCACAAGAAAAAATAAAATGAAAAGAAAGATTGATGATCTATACTATCTAAGCAAAGATATCACTATATCTAAGCAACTCTTCAAAATTTACCTTCAACCTAATGAGCTCTATAAGCAAACTTTTGGTACTGCAAATAGTTAAA